CTCTCCTCCACTCTAGCTGTGACATCACACACTCTAAACCTTAACGAGCTGCACAATACACACTAATGTTAACATCTGAAGAAGGCCTCTTTACCAAGCTCCAGACTAAGTAAAATATCTCAAAACGTGTAAAAGATATCAAAAATCTGAATAAGACTAGCTGAATGTCTTGTGATTTTAAAGTTGGAATGAAGTCTCTGGCTGAAATTATGTCGAAGGAGTAGCATTTGGCGCACGGTGTAGTTAAAAGAGGATTTGAAGGTTCCTCCCATTGAGTTACATTAAAAAAAGAGTTTAAAGAGCTGAATATTTCAAAAAGTATAAAATATTTTGAAAAAATTGAAAGTTTCCCATCATGTGCTGAAAAGGCTGAATATGTTGACATTTGAATGGTTTCTGTCGCTGAAAGTAGGCTGAAGTTGTCGGACGGCAAAATATTGGTTGAAATAATAATAATAAGAAGAAGATATAAAGATTTGAAGAACTATAGTGGAATGCTGTAAACAGCATACGCACTAATAATGACTAATGTTGAATTTGTGATTTATTTTCTTATCGTCAACTAAATTAATTATTTACAAGTATTGTCTCAGTACGACGTTGTTAAAAAACTACAAAAAACACATCAATGAACCACACTCCTGTACCAGGTGACAGATATATTATAAATAATCACTAAATATGTATTAATCCACCTCTGAAAATAGTCCCTAATAAAGTTACAATTTCCTCTTTTAACGTCGGAAAAAAGTTGAAAAACTGAACCTTTACAAAAATGAACCCTGTTTATTTATTATTTTGAGAGCAGCTTCACTACTTCATGGCAGATTAGAGTCGGAGCTTGTGTCATACTCAAAGCGCTTTGAGTGACAGCTCTGAGTTTCCTCTGGGCGCGGAGCCTTTAGAAGATCTGAACACATCTTCCAGCCACTGTAACCTCAGTCCCAGCGGCTCTGTCAAAAACAAAGGCCTGCTCATCCATCCGTCCTCTCATCTGAGTCCACATCTGAGATGGAGGCCTCGGCTGGACGACAGCCCCGGGGAGGGGGGGGCAGAGGACGTATGAGTGTGTTGTCACCGGTCTGAACGTATGACAGGGACTCATCCCTGGTACAGCTCCAGTTTACCGTGACGTCATTGGCTGACACGGAGAGGGATTAGATAAAGGTCATGACAGAGAGACATGGAGGCTGGAGACAGTCCAACTCCACCACAGAGTTTGAAGTAGAGGACTGAAGTCAGGCATGAAGATGGGATATAAGGTTTGGGTCAATTTCTTTAAATGATGGCTGCAGAGACCGGAAAATGTTGTCAATGCAAACGGTGAGGAGAAATTCTTCTTAACAGCCTTTTATCACAAACAAAATGAGACTCAAACAAATAAAAGGTAAACTTTAAAAAGGAAAAATCTATCCTCAATTATAAAAAACAGTGAAAGACGTACAAATCGTTTTGCTGCAAAGTCATGTTCAATGATCTGCATGCATCTTCAGAAAACCATAAATATGGATTTTCAGAGGAAGATTAAAATGCTTGACCTGTTTAAAAATTAACAAGATACATCATGCTTCAGTATCACCATGTTTCTTAATGTTATCTAACATGAGGTTCCTTTAAAAAAACAATTTATGATCTTATAGACTTAATCTACAATCACAGCTTGTAGAAACAAAAACTACTAAAACACAAAGGCAGCGATTAGAAAAAGTAAACTAGTTATCAAAAAATATGATGGTCAAAGATCAACCCGGTATCACGGCAAGACGTGAACATGTGATGATTTACCATGCTGGGAGACGTGAAGATGTCACGATTTCGTCCCTTCAAACGTGACAGTTACACGGTATTGTTAACCCATGTTAACCAGTGGAGAAATAACCGGAAATGCCAAACAAATGCTACCCCGACGTAATGATTTATTTTTTAATAGTCACACTCGATTACGCCGATTTTCTTGTTGCCCCAGCTGGTCGACACCTCTTTTAGCAGAAACAAAGGCTACATTAATGTTATTAATTAAATCCAATGAATATACTTTATAGGGATCCTATTAATATCTAATAATAAAATAATACAATTCAATAACGTGCTTTAACCACCAGGTGTCCCTTTCTATCAGCTCTGCACCGTTATGGTGTAAATACATTACAGCCTATCTACCAATTGGATCAAATATAAAAGTCAGCCGAATTAGTGTTGATATTGCAAGAAATGTAAGATGCTGTTTAATTGGTGATATATTTATGATCCACGTCACGTTTTCAGTTTTGGCGGCAGTTGTTCCTGTTTGTCTAGAAGTCTTCTCAGCAGGGCTCTATAAATAGAGAACTACGGCAGATATGTAATATTTAATGCAGCCGAACCGTGTATTACAATGCCGTTATATGATGACTTTCAAAGAGAAAAGCAAGCACACTTGGAATAAAGTATTATTTTATTTTTAAAAAACGTTTTCAGATTTCACATCACATAAACACCAAATCCCAGCATGCATTGCGGATAAACCATAGATGAGGGTAACAAATGCGTCACTTCCGGGCAAAAATAACGGCTCCGCCCACTTTTGGGGGAAAACAACGCTGTCAGTTGAACGGCGGTCAATACAAATTCTGAAGTTTTTGCCAATCCGATCAGAAATGTACGATCGGGCTCGATATATGGTTAAATATAGCAGTAGGCTATCGATTTTCATAGATGAGAGTAACATCTACGTCACTTTACGGCCCCACCCACTTTTGGGGGAAACAACGCTGTCATTTGAAACTATAGGCCCTGGCTGCGGAACGCGGAATGGGGCGGGGTCGGATGTGGACGGGGCTGGACGTCCGATGGGCGGGGTGTATGGATATCCTAATGACACAAACAGCATCATCGGCTGGACAACTACAATAAGTACAAATACAAATCTGCACTCGACTAAATATAATTTAAAACTAAATATAAAAACTTCATACTAATTAAATGCATGAATGTATTTAAATATGTGGTATAAAAAGTCATATTTTCTATATTAGTGTATTTAAGTTCATTATTTAATATTTGTTTTAATTGATATATTAGTGTATTTAAGTATATTATTTAATATTTGTTTTAATTGATTATTCATTTAGTCAGTTCTGTGCATACTCATATCTAGTCCATATATTTCAAATGATACATTGCACTGCATTTCATAGAATGATAGAAAAAGCATTTATTATTTACAACATTTATCATATAACAGAACAATCATTAAGATAACAGAACCAAAAAAGCAAATACAGTAAATATAAAAACCAAACCAAGTATACAAAAAAAAATCTATACAACAGTGAAAGGCTTTGCTGATGCAAACATTCAACCGCGCTCTTCAAAACAGGCATGAACCTTAAGGTTTTCTTTGTCAATGCACTGCTCAAAAAACATTAAATAGTCCGACTCAAATTTGAACCTGAACATAAATGGGTCCATCCTGTCTTCCCAGCTGTCTTCGTCCCGCAGGTTGCTGGCTTCACCAAGGTTATGGAGAGCTGCTTCTCTGTCCAGTGGGGCCGTGGAAAGAATTTGTGGCAGGATGACTTTATCTCCCATATTCTTTGCAGAGCACCACTGAGATGCCGCCATAGCACTACTTATAAAGGGGTGCTTCTCCTACAGCAGTGGTTCTCAAACTTTTTCTGTCATTCCCCACTTTGAACAGGTGGGCCTTTTCAAGCCCCACCTGTTCCTCTTAAGCTTAATTTTTCAAGCTTAAAATTGTCAAATGTATCGTTCTATAACAGGGGTCTCCAACCTTTTTTAGGATGAGAGCTACTTTCAAAAACTAAAACGAAAAAAAGAGCTACTTTTACTCATCTTTTTTGTTTTTTTGCAGTGTATATATTTAGCACATTTTAACATTATTATATGCTACCTTTAACCTTTGTGTGCTGTTTGGGTCTGTGGGACCCGTTTTCAGTGTTTACTAAAATAAAATGTATGCAATTAAATTATTTTAACCTGCTTTATTTGGTGGTGGACGTCACATCCTCTAGGGTCCGGGGGCATGCACCCCAGGAAGATTTTTTGTTAAATGCATCAATCTGGTGCACTTTGAGCTAGGGCTGCTCAATTAATCGTATTTTAAATCGCAATTACGATTTTGGCTTGCAACGATTATGAAAACATAAATGAAAACAACATTTTTTTTTAAAAATAGGGTTTTCAGTTGAATCATACTTAAAGTTCAGGGTAATCAACTGTTAAAAACATATTTTCAAATTATTTTCTTCAATAAATTAATGTTTTCAAAGTAAATGGTTAATCGTTTTTAATAATCGTGATATCAATTATTGACCCAAATAATCGAGATTATGATTTTTGCCATAATCGAGCAGCCCTACTTTGAGCCCAACATGAATTTATGGATACAGCTCTCAACACTCAGATGAAAGGGAGCTGTATACTTTTCAATAATCCAAACATCTTTAGAATATGATCACAACAAATCATTTAAACTTTTTTTAAAAATGTATTTGCCCCACACTTTGAGAAACGCTGTCCTACAGGAAGAAGAGAAATAGTTTATGCATTGCTACTACACTGTACATTTACTATTCTTATAGTGCTGCTGCTGATTTGCAACAAGATGCTTTGAATGTGTAATTATGACGCACAGAAACTTGCACATGCAACACTATCTAAATCAGTGGTACAAAATATTTTCAGCCATTTTCTACCAGTCGCTGCAGAAGAACAGAAGGAAGTGCTGTGAATTTCATGTAAGGTATAACAGATAGCATATCACGTACTCCATTCTCCTCTTCAGAGCTGACAAGAATTTCTGCAGCCGTCTTTGCCAGTGGGTCCTTTTTCTGGAAGACACCAGATAAAAGGAATTACTACTGCATGGTAAAACAGTTGTACTTGCATCATGACACATTGCCCCCTTGAATAAGAGGTGGAAGCAACAAACTGTATGGCTGTGGAGCACATCCATGGAGATTTTAAGTAGTAAATGACAGTCTACATACCCATCCAAAGTCGCTGCAGAATGCCATTTCCTTTACGACTTTACTTCTTTTGGGTGGGTCATCATGATTACTTACCCTGGGACTGTCTTGGCAGTCTTATCTCTCCAGTCGTCTTTTGGTTGATCTTCTGCCTTCGAATCTATCAGTGACAACAAGTGTTATGGGAATTGTTAACAAACATAACTGGTTTATTGTTTAATTTCATTTTAATTTGTCATAAGACATAAAAACAATACAATAAAAGATTCAAGATGACACATGCAAAAAATGTGTCGCGGTAAGAATACTTACGTCACGGGGAAGTTGTCAATGAGTAGCATGCACCACCATCTCCTTAAATGCTCCATGTCCAACTGTGCAAAAAAAGATGCATATTAAAATGAAAAGGTAACACCACAAGGACTGATCAAAAGTGAATCTCTGTGGCCTACCTCACTGAAATCAAAAGCTGACTCCATCACAAAGTAGAGGGCATACTGTTCAAGAGTAAAAAAAACATTACACACTAATTGCAAAACTGTAAAGAAAAGATTGATAAATTCATCAGATGAGCCATACCATGAGCACAAACACCCCACAGTTGTTGGAGGCCCGTTGTCTTGGTATGCCCTATTTCATGAAGAAGGTGAGATTCTATACACATATACACACACACACACACACAGTGTAGGAATCCAGGAATCAAACTCAATTAGTGTGCATCATAATTACTAACTTCCTCCAAGTTTACAGTAAAACAAACTGGTGGTGTGACCAATGGCCATTTACAATTATTAATACTATTATTAGTAATCAGAGAAAGCTCAGAGAAAGGAGTATGAATGTAAGGTTTCCCCACTGACACAGAGAGGAGGAAAGAATGTCTGGCTCAAGTCAGCAGGAGCAATTTAACTATCACAAAAGACAACAACAGCAACAACATATGTGAGGTAATCATATTTTTCACAAAACGAAGACCACACCATTGGGAAGCTTAACGTCTGTTTAATCAAAAATAAGGAACAGGGAGAGGCTTGTAAAACTCTGGGAGTTGAGACTCAGGTGCAGGGTGAGGGTCTCATTGCAGGTCTTCAGGCTCCATTGAATCCCTGTGGGGTTCTTGTGCTGAAAGAGGGAGACAGGAGAAAGGGTTAGATACATCTAGCAACCTATAGGATGGGAAATTGCTGACCATTTGAAACTTACCTTGTGTTTTCACTCTCACTTAAGTCCCTCTCCCTTTGCCATCAATCCAAAATCAGCTGAGCTGCAACATAATACAGACAGGTAATAATCAACAGAATCACAATGGCTCTGCTAAAAACACTCACCCATAAGTTACGTTTTTGTTTACTGTTTGGAAGTCTCAAATATGCACTCTAAATCCATATCAATAGCGATGTATCACAAAAATAGCTCTCTTCCTTATTATTGTGTAACGTTAACTATATTATACTAGCTTGAACTCCAAGATGGATATCCTCATTTCTCCACCCACTACAATCACACGCCCCAATGTTATATTTAACTAATATGTAACTCCCTCCACCCCGGATAAAAGCACGTTAAGAAGCCCCTTTTCTCTAATTCCACAACGTTGGAGGAAATAACATGAGGAGAACGGATTAATAGGCTGTTCGTGGTTAACGTGTGTTGCTAACTTTATCCGGCATCCTAGCCTAATCTGTTATCTGTAAACGTTAAATATACTGATTGAAGGGATAATCCACTAACATCCTTTAATACACATGTGTAGTTAATTTGATTCAGATGTTCTGATAATATCCGCAATATAAATCTTTAAACGTCTTCTTCTTAACTTTAAAAGTTGGTTTACGAACGGTCTATTATGCTACAACTCTACTGCGCTGCTAGCCGCAGATCCTCTCAATAGTTTCCCGGAAATTAGCAGCAAGCTAACTTCCGGGGAACTATTGAGAGGCTCCACAATCCGCCATTGCTGTAAAAAACTGGTCCATTGGAGTGAACCGAACGGAGATGTCGTAACTCTTCTCTGGGCGGGGTCGGACATCCAACCCCGCCTTTTATCCGCCCCCGCCCCACTCCGCGTTCCGCAGCGAGGACCTTCTCATTTGAACGGCGATCGAGCCTGAAGCCACAGAGCTCTTCTTTTACTGTCTTTTCTTCTTAAGGCCCTGGCACACCAGGCCGATTTCGGCTGTTTTCGTAAATCGGGAGACGAAGCGTGTCCTGTCGCCCAAACTCAATTTGGTGTGTCCCGCACCGTCGACCGTGACACGCCTTATTTGGACCGATGCATGGCCGATTCAACATGTTGAATCGGCCATGCATCGGGACAGGCAGTCGGACCAAACAATCACTCTGATTGGCTGTTCAGCTAGCGAATCAGTGCATGAGAAGCGAAACGGAAGTTTCACATCAAGGGGGAACGCTCTTCCCACAACTGTAAAGGAAAGTAAAACTATACTTACCTTCAAAACCTCTCTTAAAGAGCACCTTCGGGGGAGAGCATTGCAAAACTGGCCCCGGTAATGGTACAAATCTCAACCTGTCATTCAATGGACAGCTTCCCCCCCCCCCCCCCCCCATCTATGTATATACTCGCATTTTAGACTCTGTTACTAACTGTATATCTGTAGACTTGGTATGTCTTAAATGTCCGGTTAGGATGTATTAGAACGAAATCTAAAATGAAAATTGTAAACAAGCAATCTGTATGTAAAAAAACCACCTGTATGTAAATTGTAAATAAGCCATCTGTATGTCAAATATGTCTTAAATGACATGATGAATTGGAAATGGGGGACCCTGATGTAAACAAGACGAAAGTCTTTCTCTGGTCTGCATCCCCTTAACAATTGTATGTTTTGAGCTGTACTGTACTGTACCCAATATACAAGCTGTTAATAAACGTTTCAAACAATCAATCAATCAGGGACATAAACAAACGATTTAAGAAGGCACACACAGACTGATATTCATTTTCATCTCATCATGGCGATCTGGAATGACACAAACGAAGACCTGCTCATCACATTGATCCAGGAGAGGCCAGCTCTGTACGACATCACAGAGAAAAGGTACTCGAACCGAGTAGTGAAAACCGGACTCTGGCGAGAGATTGAAACGCAACTTGGTTTCTCGGGTAAGATTATCTTTTTCATCAATTGAGCTCTTTAGCAGATACTGTTGGCTTTTTATTGTTTGCCAGCGTACAGTGACGTTAACGTGAAATGTAATTTGTTATTTCAACCTTGTGTTTTGTTGTTATCTTGTTGCTAGCTGTTGCTAGCTGTGCAGTTTGGCACTGCATATAGATATGAATTGGACATGCTAACTAGCCACAATGCTTACATCGTTTATTTGTGTGCTTCAGAGAAAGAGCTGAGGAAGCAGTGGGATTCTCTGCGAACCCAGTACACCCGGTACAGGAGACTTGCCCATTCGGGTAGTTGTGGAGCACCAAAGACGGGCAGACAGCAGTGGATCATAACCAGGCTGCAGTTTGCACACGCTATTTGTTGTTGTTTATATCACGCAGTCTGTTCTTCTCCTCTGTCTTCCGGTTGTTGCCTATTTTTAATGACGAATACACACTACCGCCGCCTGCTGGTAAGGAGAGTTATTGCCACTCACGCACTGAAGTCTTTGCGGTGTGTTCCCGTGCGACACATGGCCAAGACGCAGGAGAACACCGCGACGCAACAGCCGACGTCGGCGTCGGCGAGTCCTCTGGTGACTGCTTGGTGTGTCAGGGCCTTTAGAGGAAGTACAGCAACACTGAACTATAGATTATTTTTAATGTTTGAGGTGCAATAAACGACACAGCAGCTTTTCGGCATGATAAATCTATTATGTTCCGCCTCACTCATAAGAGTAACAGCTGGAGAAATTACAGCCTCGCCAACTGATTTTAATTTAACCATATATCAAGACCGATTGTCGATTACCAATGATCGAATGTAATTGTTTGCCTGACTGGCCATCGTAATCGAGCTCTTTGAAGATCCAAAAATCGACGGTTTTCAAAAATGTTTGATTGGATTGGCAAAAACTTCAGAATTTGTATTGACCGCCATTCAAATCACAGCGTTGTTTTCCCCCAAAAAGTGGGCGGGGCCGTATTTTTTTGCCCGGAAGTGAAGTAGGTGTTACTCTCATCTATCCAATCATCAAGCTGAGGATCTTGCCTACGTCTGTTTCCGGTTTCGTTTATGACGGATGTATTTTGTTATACACAAATTCCTTCACATTTACATTTTAATTTGCATTAAAGTATTTCGTGAGGCCTTCTAACATGTTTTTAAATATAACTACGGTTGTAGTTGAAGAGTTTGTAAATTAACATGAACCGAAGCTGTTGCCTGGCAACTCAATCGCACAACTTCACGTCCGTTAATTCCACAACCACACGCATGGATTAACATCGATTTAATACATTAATGTAGCCTTTGTTTCTGCTAAAAGAGGTGTCGACCAGCTGGGGCAACAAGAAAATTGGCGTTATCGAGTGTGACTATTAAAAAATAAATCATTATTATATTAATATTGACAATAACAACCGACCGTCGGGGTAGCATTTGCTTGGTATTTCCGGTTATTTCTCCACTGGTTAACATGGGTTAACAATACCGTGTAACTGTCACGTTTGAAGGGACGAAATCGTGACATCTTCACGTCTCCCAGCATGGTAAAACGTCACATGTTTACTATCTAAATCTAACACCAAATGCTCAGTAAAGAAGAATCCCTAAATGATCCTATAAGCCTCTCCTCTTAGGCTAAAACCAGACAACGAACAGCGTTTTAGTATATGGTGAATGCAGCTTTTGCAGTGGAGATGTAGCTGTGAAATGCTAATGCTAGGAGAGAGTGGATCTGTTCAAACAACCAGTTTATAAAGGATACCTGGATTTACTGAATAAATATGTTGTGTTGTGTTTACACTAACCTTTTGATGGACAAGAAAGACACCAGTAGCTGTACACAACAAACATGGCAACAGCTTCAACCTGAAAATACTTTGAAGACACAAACTTTTAAAACACACCACAAAAGTGAGGCTAAATCCCACGGACAAAAACTGGACGAAGATCCTTAAAATTTGTCTTGAACCTTCGACAATATATTCTCGCTAAAATACTAAAAACAAATCGAGACCCAGGAGCCAAAATGGTCGCTGCTGCGGAGTCATATTACCACAGTATTCAGCAGAAAGTATATTTCTGTATGCATCATGTACACTGCGTTCAACAAGGGTCAGTAAATCCAAATCCATTCTCTGATTTGAAAAACAATACTCATGGAAAATAATGGGCAATCTCTGCAACTGATGAATTACATTTCGATTCATTTCCTAAATGGGCTAGGTAGAGATAGAAATGATCCCAACCAATAATATGCATACACACACACACACACACACACACACACACACACACACACACACACACACACACACACACACACACACACACACACACACACACACACACAACCATCTCCGTCTCAGCATGGCCTGCGCGGAGCTTCCCAGACTAAATTACAAATGTTTCAGTGGATTGGAGTTGCAGGACATAATGAAGCAGTGCGGCACGCTGAGAGGTAATTACCCAGCAGCACTCCTGCCGTTCTGCCGCCCCACGAGGTGAGAGAGAAGATGAATAGCCAAAGTACAAAACCACTGACCC